CTAAAAATTGGGGAAATATAGAGTGAAGTGTTCTTTATTTAGTTCTGCAAAAAACTCGTTTCAATCTCAACTGATTTGTGCGTAACACATTTTTGAAAAACGGTGGATACGTTTCGTCGAAAGTCATCGCAAGACTCACTTTGAGTGATTATCAAAATTCAGCTCAAGTCTGTAAAGCCACTAAAATTTGAGAAAATATAGAGAATTTGAGAAAATTGTAGTCTAAAGGCTGGCTTTCAATGGTGATTTTGGCAAATTTTGCTAAAGAAACAACAAATGAATTCGTAGCGAATCCATCCATTTTATTTCGCCAACATTGTCCAAAAATTAAAGTCTTAGTTGACACCAGAAAAACTCGCCAGTTTGAACTTAAATAGTGTTCTCTTCTTGGTTTACTCCCAAAATCACTATTTTGTTTTTTGGATCGGACTGGACTTGGAATGCGAACAAAACCAATAATGGGATTTCTGACGTTAAAGCCAATTGAAAATTTTATGGGCTCACTGAGAGAGGGAGTTGAAAACATTGTTTGGCGAAGTGTCTGGAAAACCACTTTGAGGAAGTTGGAAACTGCGTCATTTTTACCGATAACCAACGAAAATCTACTGCACAGTCAACAGTGCGATTGGCCAGTGAATGTTATTTTTGAAACCAGGTTTTGATTGAAAATATTCAAGTTATCAAGTGACTAACTATCAATTTGTTTCTTGAAAAACAAATTTAACGTTTCAAGACAGCAAAGACCTAAAAGAATGTACCAATTATGAGATTATATGAATTTTAAATCTGATGATGGCGCTGTTGTCTCGCCGAAACGTTATGAAATAAACGATATACAAATTTTGTTTCACACTTTGACCGGAGCCCAGGAAGGATAATAATATAATAACAAATACACGCAGTCAGGAAAATAAATAAAAATTAATTTCAATATTTTCTGCTGCATTGGAAAACACTATTTTTGTGTCTAGTCTAGTTTCTGGAACGCTTTCCAGGGCCCGGGCAAATTCACGAAGACTTATCAGAACTTACAAATTCACTAAGAGAATGTGTGAACCTAAGTGGAAAGTTCAGCACAAACTACTGAAGAGATTAATTCCCAGGAACATGAAATGTTCAATTTTGAACCCATTTCCCGAGATCCGGCTTGAAATTCCGATGAATTTTTCCAACAATAAAACATTGGTCTTAATGGAGATTGGTCTAGGAGAATGAGGCCCCTCTGGCAAACCGAAGACAAATAAGCGAAAAGTAATTCAATATTAAGAGCGTCTAGAGTTCCATTTTGCACCTTGTCATAATTAGGAAAGTGCTCGCAGATATCGTGGAATATTTATGTGCCTGGATTTTGTCGTATTCCAGAACGTCGTTTCGCTCGAGGATCCAGCGGCGAAATAAAATCTAATGGAATCACGTAAACGTCCGGACAGGACGGATTTTATTTAAATCGGTTTAACGGATCTGAGCATCAATCCAATATGGTTTGATGTTTCAAACGTGCAACACACTCACGTTGAGGGACGGAAAATCAAAGGCAAAAACTGCAATTCGCCCAACAAATTTCTATTGAAAACTTATCCAGGTTTACACAAAAGGTAACTTAACTTTCCATTATGCTACTTACTTTGATGCTGCCTAAGGTTCTGATGAATTTACCGGCCCGGAAACTTGCAATATGCCAGATTAATAGCTAATATTTTTGACCTCCATTCTCGACCCCCCAATGGAAAACCAATTAGGAAAATCTCCAGTTAGTCGCTTGATAACTTGAATATTTTCAATCAAAACCGGGATTCAAAAATAACATTCACTGGCCAATCGCACTGTTGACTGTGCAGTAGATTTTCGTTGTTTATCGGTAAAAATGACGCCGTTTGCAACTTCCTCAAAGTGGTTTTCCAGACACTTCGCCAAACAATGTTTTCAACTCCCTCTCTCAGTGAGCCCATAAAATTTTCAATTGGCTTTAACTTCAGAAATCCCATTATCGGTTTTGTTCGCATTCCAAGTCCAGTCCGATCAAAAAAACAAAATAGTGATTTTGGGAGTAAACCAAGAAGAGAACACTATTTAAGCTTAAACTGGCGAGTTTTTCTGGTGTCAACTAAGACTTTAATTTTTGAACAATGTTGGCGAAATAAAATTGAATCAGCAAAATATTATTTCAACGACTCGTCAACGGTTATAAACAGCGTTTAAAACTTGGATTCGCCACGAACTCATTTCTTGTTTCTTTAGCAAAATTTGCCAAAATCACCTTTGAATGCCAGCCTTTAGACTAGAATTTCCTCAAATTATCTATATTTCCCAAAATTTTAGTGGTTTTACAGACTTGAGCTGAATTTTCAATCACTCAAAGTGAGACTTGCGATGACTTTCGTCGACGACACGTATCCACCGTTTTTCAAAAATGTGTTACGCACAAATCAGTTGTGATTGAAACGAGTTTTTTGCAGAATTAAATAAAGAACACTTCACTCTATATTTCCTCAAATTTTAGTGGTTTTATAGACTTGAGCTGAATTTTGAGAATGACTCAAAGTGAGACGTGCGATGACTTTCGACAAAACGTACTCAACGTTTTTCAAAAATGTGTTCCGCACAAATCAGTTGTGATTGAAACGAGTTTTTTGCAGAATTAAATAAAGAACACTTCACTCTATATTTCATCAAATTTTAGTGGTTTTATAGACTTGAGCTGAATTTTGAGAATGACTCAAAGTGAGACTTGCGATGACTTTCGACAAAACGTACTCAACGTTTTTCAAAAATGTGTTACGCACAAATCAGTTGTGATTGAAACGAGTTTTTTTGTAGAATTAAATAAAGAACACTTTACTCTACATTTCGTCAAATTTTAGTGGTTTTAGAGACTTGAGTGGAATTTTCAGAATCACTCAAAGTGAGACTTCCAATGACTTTCGACGAAACGTACCCAACGTTTTTCAAAAATGTGTTACGCCCAAATCAGTTGAGATTGAAACGAGTTTTTTTATAGAATTAAATAAAGAACACTTTACTCTACATTTCCTCAAATTTTAGTGGTTTTAGAGACTTGAGCTGAATTTTGAGAATCACTCAAAGTGAGACTTGCGATTACTTTCATCGACGAAACGTAGCCACCGTTTTTCAAAAAGTGTTACGCACAAATCAGTTGTTATTGAAACGAGTTTTTTGCAGAATTAAATAAAGAACACTTCACTCTATATTTTCTCAAATTTTAGTAGTTTTAGATACTTGAGCGGAATTGTGAGAATAACTCAAAGTGAGACTTGCGATGACTTTCGACGAAACGTACCCAGCGTTTTTCAAAAATGTGTTACGCCCAAATCAGTTGGGATTGAAACGAGTTTTTTGCAGAATTAAATAAAGAACACTTCACTCAATATTTCCTCAAATTTTAGTGATTTTAGAGACTTGAGTGGAATTTTCAGAATCACTCAAAGTGAGACTTGCGATGACTTTCGACAAAACGTACCCAACGTTATTCAAAAATGTGTTGCGCCCGAATCAGTTGAGATTGAAACGAGTTTTTTGCAGAATTAAATAAAGAACACT